TGTCCTGGTTATTCACCACCTCCTACACCCTTCACACCATCCCACACACTCCAGTAGCCACATTTGGGGGGAGAACCCCACAATCGCTTAGCTCACTGGCCTAAGTTCCCCAGCCACCATCAAGGGCAACTCCTTTGCCTGTCTTCCATGCACCAGCGTGTGGTATAAGGGCCTAAAATTAGTATTATTTGATGGCTTGAAGCTTAGGTAAAACTGGAAGGAGCTTGAATGGCCTAACCCTACTCCAGCAGATAAGGTCCCCAAGCCAAACGAGCCTCCCATCACAGGGACGACCACAGGGCCTGCTGATCCAAGTGACATGTTGCAGTTCCCTGTTGGCTCGCGGGAATGAGACAGAGATGAGACTTCACCTTCTGCTCTGCACCGCGGTTTCTGCACTGGAGCATTTTTCCACAGCAGTACACGTGGGGCCCGGAATCAGCTGCATAATATTCCACTGCATAGCTGGACCGTAACTTAATTAATCTCCTCTTGGCAAACATTTAGATGATTTCCAGTCTTGTTTTCCATCTCAAAATATTGCAACAAATCTTTTTGCATATATCTTTGTATAGTTGTGAGGTTCTGTGGATCTATTTGTTGCTAATGTAGAAAAATGTCATTAAGACTTTTTGTTGGTTTAAAAATAAAAGAAACCTTTTTGAGGTTAGCTTCTTCGAACTCATTCTTCCTTTGGCTCCACTGAACATAAAACACCTTTTAAATCCAGCTCTATGAATGTGAGGTTCTCACGGGGTGCTCTGATTTGGTCTATGACATGGACTTACGTAACTCTTTGGAACAACAAAATAGCATTTAATTATATAGAAAGTAATAAACATGAAAAATGTATTGCAACAGACAATATACTACTTCCGTAACAACAGGATTAAAAATCCTTTCATTAAAAATACATTAGGTTAGTTAATAAACGTGATAGTGGAGTTAAGGGCTAGCAACATCGCCCCCAAGTGGCTTACTCGAGTACTCGTCCCATTAGGAATGCAAATTCATCACTTCCCTAACCTCCATTCACAACGAGGCAGGACCCCATGTGGGGAGCTAGGTTTGGGGGCGGCTTCAATAACACAGCATCCACTCATTCCTGTGACTTCCAGGGAGAAGCAGAGCGACGTTTGAGCCAAGTGGGAAAGTTTTCTTCAAGGTTCAGCCTCCTCTTGGACACTTGAATATGGATGTTCTTGATGAAATCAGTAAACTCAGAAGTATTTTAACTGCCCATCACTGGTTTATCTTGCAGACTTCACAATTCTCCAACCGGTCGTTCTCAGTGCTGGCTGCCCATTGAATCTTTCAGAGTGGTTTTAACATCTGTTGCCAATCTTCCTCTTTTTGCTTGAGGAAGATTGTCACTGAGCTAACATCTGTGCCAGTGTTCCTCCACTTCATGTGGGATGCCACCACAGCGTGGCTTGATGAGCAGTGCTAGCTCAGCACTAGCTCACCTAGCCAGACCCGAACCAGCCAACCCTGGGCCACTGAAGTGGAATGTGTGAACTTAACCGCTACGCCACCAGGCAGGCCCCTATCTGAGAGTGTGTTTAAATGCATGTGCCCAGCTGGGTGTCTCTCCCACCCATGCAAGCTGATTCCCAGGTCTGGACAAAGCCTAGACTTGAGTTGGTTCTATTTTGTTTTGTTTGTCAAGCCCCACAGGTGACCTGGTGCACAGCCAGGCTGGAAAGCATGGTGCTGCCGGCTCCAGGTGACTTGGCGGGTGGCAGGAGAGGGAGCCGTGGGGGAAAAGAAGGCCTGCAGGGTGGACACCCTGCTCTGACTTTCTCCCAAGCAGGCGTTTCTCCTCGGGCCTGCCAAGGATGCTGACCAAGGGTAGACATATCAGGAGTTACTTCAAAGACTTGTTACGCCTTTCCCAGGTCACGTTCTGTGACAGAAAGAGACATCAAGTCATTTTGGGTATTAAGAGGGCCACTGTACTGACCCCACATACTCATTACTAAGCATTTGTTACCACGGCTTTACAAGGGGGAATACTTGTTGCTTCATAGCATCTCTCAGAGCCAAACCCTGAGTTAAAAATAGGACTTCTGGGGGCATCTGGGTTAGTGAGAGTATTTTTCTCTCCACGCTGACAAAGGCAAGATTCCAGGTGCAGAGGCCAAACTGAAGAAAACACCTTCCACAACCACCTCTGACAATTTAGCTGCTAAAACTGCCACAGAATTTGCTTAAAAGCAGGAAGTGGAAGATAACAGCTGGGTGATGTATAGCTACGCCTTCCATCTGGGATCAGAGCTGGACCAGACACTTAAAATTCAGCAAGACTTCACTCCCACTGGAATATGACAGGGCACCTTCCCCACCCTGATTATAATTCCCACAGTGTTCAACGTCAGCCTGGCCTGGGCCACCCAAACCACATCCCCAGAGAATGTGCACAAGTGGGTGTCAGGCCGACTCCCAGAGGTGAGCATGAAGGGGCAAGGGAGGCCAAGTAGCTGATGGGGACCACTCCAACCGCAATGAGGGGCCACACCAAGCAGGGGGCTGCAGGCTGTCCTCCTGCCCCCATCACTCAGGGGTAGCCTCAGTCCAGGGGACCCCACAACACACAACTTACACATGGAATGCATCAGATACCTCAATTGAGAAGGATGTCTCGCTCCTGGAAAAACCCAGAACACCTGACGTGATTACTTTCTTCTTCACCCTCTCCGTTGTTTCGAGCTTCTCGGAGAGGCCTTCCCTATTTTAAGTTGCAGCCCACTCTCCTTCCAGCTCTCCTACAGCCCCTCACTTCTGTTTTTTTTCATAGTCATCTTCTAATATATATTTGCTGTTTAGTTTATTGTTGGTCTCCCCCAACCGGAAGGCAAGCTCCAGGAGGGCGGAGAGTCCTCTCTGTTTTGCTCCCTGAGGAATCCTCCTGTACCCAGAAGGGGTCCAATAAACGTTTCTTGAATGAATGCTCAAATGAACGAAGAGATGAGCATTCATGTGTTACTGTCATAATCCTCTCCCACCCCAATTTGTTGAATGATGCTCCCCTCTGGGTCTGGCCACCAGGGGCTGCAGCAGCGTCCAAGGCCACTCTGGCCAAGCCTGCTCCCTGAGCTTGGACAGGAACTTGGACCTCTCGGAGGTGGGGCTGAGCAGCCGGGGCCTTCAAGCTGAGGCGGATCCAGTGGGGACAGTGACCTCCAGTGGCCACGAGTGTTTGTGTGAACACAGGTGCCCTGTTACTTCAATACTGTGATGCACTGTATGATGACGTTTCAGTCAACAACGGACCACGTACACAAGCCGAGCTGTGTAGTAGGCTCGACCACCTGGGTTTGTGTAAGTACACTCTTCAATGTTCACGCGACAGAATCGCCTAACGACGCATTTCTCAGAACATGTCCCTGCTATTAAGCGACCAGTGACTCACGAGGGAAGGGAGGCGTGACCTGGTTTACCCTCCAGCCATTTTTTTTTCTTAAAGATTGGTACCTGAGCTAGCATCTGTTGCCAATCTTTTTTTTTTTCTTCTTCTTCTCCTCAAAGCCCCCCAGTACATAGTTGTACAGTCTAACTGTAGGTCTTCCTGGTTGTGCTATGTGGGATGCTAAGCATGGCTTGATGGGGGTGCCATGTCTGCGCCCAGGATCCCAACCTGTGAAACCCTGGGCTGCTGAAGCAGAGCGCACGAACTTAACCACTCGGCCACGAGGCCGGCCCTGCCTCCAGTCATTTAATTCCATTTCTCATTGTCCTTCTACCTTTTGTCTTAGCCCTCTCTCCTGCCAAAGGAGGGAAAGTCAAACTTCTTGGAGCTATAAAACATCTTCAAGGCTGGCCCGGTGGCACAGTGATTAAGTTTGCATGTTCTACTTTGGCGGCCCTGCACACTGCTTGTCAAGCCATCCTAAGGAAGGCATCCCGCATATTAAAAAAAAAAAAAAGTAAAGGAAGATGGGCACGGATGTTAGCCCAGGGCCAGTCTTCCTCAGCTAAAAGAGGAAGATTGGCAGCAGATGTTAGCTCAGGGCTAATCTTCCTCAAAAAACAGAAGAAACTTCTTCAGATGAAATAATATGTCCAACATCTGCCTCTCTGAGACACACCCGCCCCCCCGCCCCTCAGGTGAGAGGGAGCAGAGAGTGGAAAACAGCAAAATGACACACAAGGGAAGATGCAGGAGTGCCAGGAGATTCCAGGTGGGAAAGGGGGATGGGCCAGTCCCCACCCACTCCCACCACTTGAAGTTTCCAGAGCCAAGGACTCGGGACCCACGTTGTCTAAATGGACACTACACCTATTTTGTTAAGAAGGGTCAATGGCACCATTAAAGGCAGATGTGAGTGCTCAGCAAGGACAACAGAAGAGTCTGCAGGGGTGCAAAAACGAGTCAATGGAGGACTGGATGTGACTCACGCCCCTGCCCCTGTGGCACACCCTTTCTGACTCTTTCCGCCCCAGTGCCCTTGTCCTGGTGGACACCCTGCTTGGGGAGGCCCCCTTCACGATGGCTTGGGCCTGGTCACCCACTGTGGGCGCTGAGGAGGCCCCACACATCCCTGCCCACCGTGTGCCCGGGATGTAACGGAGGCTTCACCCTCTCCTGCCCCCTCTCCTCACGCTGCCCAGACAACCCTACCAGCTCTCCTCCGTCAGACACACAGGTGAGGGGCAGACCCCGGTCCCCACCGTCACACTCCCAGATGCCAGGGAACGCACATCAGGATCTCCTGAGCAGTCTCGGCAAGCCTCACCTGCTTCTGGCCACCTAGCAGCAGGGATCCAGACCTGAGAGCAGAGCTGCCCGAGGTCCCTGGCCACACTGTGCAAAACACCCACACACCCCACCCAACGATGACTCCAGAATGGTGAGAAAGTTCCCTCAGACCTCGGCCATCTGTGGAGGGGATACTGGATACCGCCCCAGCTTCAGGCAGGGCTCCCTCTGCAGAAGGCTTCCCAGTAACCCATCGGGAGCGAAGCAGGCGGCATCGATCAGGACACTGACACACCATCACCTGGGCTTTTACTGCTGATTCTGTCATTTATATTCGAGGTGACAGCTGACGAAGGGGCAGGGAGTCAGGTCCATAAATACATGCTTCAGGGCGAAGGTGCGCCCTGCCTCCCCCCCTCCTGCTATTGCTGCACCAGAGACGGCTGTGTAGAACCGAGCATCACGCCTGACCAGGTGTGCCAGGGAGGCAGGCCCTCCCATTGAGAAGCCTCATCACGCTGGTTTGCACAGGGGCCAACGACTACAAAATACACCTCACTCCAGCCAAAGTAAGTTTCAAACCATCCTTTTCTCTGAAAAGCGGCATCTCCCACACACCATCCTTTCGGTTTGGCAGCCCTGGTAAAGGAGCTGGTTTTCTGCGATTCTGAACCAGAGATAAGCAAGAAAAAGCTTCCAGTGGGAAAGCATTTAACCAGAAGAGGCCAGATCCAGGGAAAGCTTTTCTTTTAGGATTTCCCAATCTTGGCTGCGCATCAGAATTAGTGGAGGAGCTTTAAGGGAATCTTGATGTTCGGATCATGCCCCAGACCAATCAGGCCAGACCCTCTGGAGGCAGAACCAGGCATCAGCATTTCTGTCGGCTTTCTGGGTAATTTCAATCCACCGGTTCAGATACTATTTGGCATTTTAAAATCTCTTCATAGTGAATGTGACCCACACCTGCATTATTACAGCTATGCGTCTATTCACCTTCCAATTCTCTACATTGGAAATTATCCCCAGTTTGCCACTTTCCCATCTGGAAGGCAAACTCTTTTCTGGTTAACCAGGTTGTGGATTAAGCAACAAATGGAAAGAAGCATCAAATTCTTCTCTTTGTTGCTGCTGAGTTGAATGAGAAAGGGCACATTCTTCCACTCCTCAGCCAGCTTCCTGTCAGAGACTTGATTGGTGGGTCCTGGACACTTTGATCTCTCTCAGATGGGAAGAAAGCCCGAGTAGAGAACCCTCATGACTCATCATGTTCATTAGGCCAAACTGACAGCCAGTGAGCATCACGAAATTCAACTCTAAGGCCCTTCTCAATGTGAAGCACCTGCGCAGTTTCTAAACCAGGTTCCAGCCAGTTGCCAGAGGACCACCAGCCCTTCAGTCACACGACGCAGGGTCCCTGAGCTAGGAGGAGGCTCCATGTGTGACTGCCTCCTCAGCCAACAGCAGCGCTTTATGTCTCACGTTTACGCCCAACAGAGAAAGAGAACAGGTCCTCGCCCCAGGGACCAGAGAAAGCAAAGGCAGAGGCGTAAACGGCTAAGTAAAGTTCCTTTTTTTGCTTTGAAAAATCAATCTAAAAAGTTAACCTATTTGGATACCAAATTCTATCTAAAGTAAAATCTCAACTATCTCCCTTTAAAAAAAAAATTAGAACCATAGAAATGTTAAGAAGGAAATACGCCAAAACAGCAACAAGGGTTCCTCCTTGTGCTGAGATGACAATGAGTGATTCTCACCTCCAGCCTATTTTTTCCTACTTCACTCTACTTTTTAGAATGAGCATTATTACCTTTAAGATCAGAAAGCAAACATAACAAAGTTCCAAAAATTAATCAACTATTTAGAAGCTAAATCTAATAATCATTCATACACTCTAAAATTCGACCTTCTCCAATAACCTTCTCTGCTAATTCCAGCATTAGGATTCCACCCATAAAGTGTCTGTACCTCCATCCAAATATTTCAAGGGAAGATTTACTGATTTTCACACTAGATAATGGTGAACTGTTCCAGTTTCAGAAACTCATCAAAAAGAGGATTTAGTCTACTAAATGTTCACATGTCTGAGGTAAAAACGTATACTGAATACCAGATATTTCTGGAGAAAAACCAGTGCTTGTGTATCTCCCGTTACAGAAATCGATTTACGAGTGTCCCTCAGGCTCCATCTGATGTCACTGATCTCAGGTGTTTTCAGCCCAGGCCCCTTCCCTGTGGGCATGGGGGTCCCAGACCTGGCAGCCTTCAAGCACAAGACAGGTCTCCTCAAGGGTCCTGACCCTGGGGGCCTTCTTTGTGTTCACTGAGTCTGGGCCGCTTTGGCTCCGGAGGACTGCCCTGAGGGTCTCCAGGCATCTCTGAAACATTAACACACACAGGTTGGCAAGTAAGTGAAGACTTCTTTAAGAGCAGATGTTTACAAAACAACTTTTGTGCCCAGACAAGGCAGTGAACTGCCCAGCGAGGTCGTATATGGAAATAAGGGGAAGGATCTATACCAGTGGTTCTCAACCAGGGGCCATTCTGCCTCCCAAGGGATAGTGGGCAATGTCTTTTGTTTTTTTGTTTTGTTTTGTTTTGAGGAAGATTAGCCCTGAGCTAACTGCTGCCAATCCTCCTCGTTTTGCTGAGGAAGACTGGCCCTGAGCTAACATCCACACCCATCTTCCTTTACTTTATATGTGGGATGCCTACCACAGCATGGCTTGCCAAGCGGTGCCATGTCCACACCCAGGATCTGAACCAGCGAACCCCAGGCCGCCAAAGCGGAATGTATGTACTTAACCGCTTCACCAGCAGGCCGGCCCATGGGCAATGTCTAGTGACTTTTTTTTTTTTAAAGATTGGCATCTGAGCTAACATCTGTTGCCCATCTTCTTCTGTTTTTTCTTCTTCTTCTTCTTCTTCTCCCCAAAGCCCCCCGGTATATGGTTGTACATTCTAGTTGTAAGTGCCTCTGGTTGTGCTATTGAGTGACATTTTAGAATGTCAAGAGTGGGGAGGTACCAGCACCCAGATCCTACAATCACAGGACAGCTCCCACAACAAAGAATTTTCCAGCCCAGATTGTCAGCAGTGCTGAGGCTGAGAATTCTGACTATAGCATCTCCTGGACGCACCATCGACCTCACAGTGAGGGCTTCCACCGGAAGGTCATCTCCCCACTGAGAACAGTAGGCACGCAGTGAGTTTAAATGACGGGTCTAGTAAGATGCATCCTTGCTCCTTCAGAACTCACTTAAAATTAGGTGGTGTGAATTTCCAAAGGAACAAAAGAGAAGATATTCCCTCTTTAATTACATTAAACCAATAACAGCATAACTTACCTGATTGAACTTCTTCTGTGGCAGAGGTGGAAATTATACTGTTTGGTACAGAATTCAGTGGAGTGTCTGTCTTTAAGGGTATTAAGTTTATTCTCCTTGATTAAAAAAAGAAGAAGAAAATGGGTACATGGCTCAATAGTGTCATAGGAATTGTTCATGTATACCAATTTCAAAACTAACCAAAGGAAATAGTTAAAATTTTCAGCTGATCATATCATGCAAGGCATTAAATATAATGTTGATGTGCCCACTTATGTAGTAACTAAGGATTATGTTCATGTACTACTTAAACTATCACATTTATAGTAGTCAACTTAGACCTTAACCAGTCATCCAAGAGTTTCAAAGCCCGTGTTTTGTTAATTACCAGTGGTATGCTGAACACCTGGCTGGATGCTGCATAGAAAAGGTCCTCAGACATTGTTTCTACTATGGACAGCTCCAAAACATAGATAATTCTTTTTTAAAATCACAGTCAACTTTCAACAACTATTATTTTTTTAAAAAAACGATTACAAATGCAAGGAGCTTGCAAGAAATTAAGAGGGGAAAAACTTGAATGCCAAGAATATTTCAAAGAAGAGCTTCACACTTGCTTCCCCCACCTAAAAACAAATAGGAAAATTAAAAAAAAAAAAAAAAAAAAAAACCTTTGCTAGCCTGTGGAAAGAAATCAGAGACTCAAAAAGAGCCAAACGCTACACCCAAGCCATGCTATGGATCTGCCGATGAAGTCAAGTGAACGCAGCAGAGAACGTGAGAGACGACAGTGCCTCTATCATCTTCCATCACCCCCACCCCAGGCCGCCTCCCAGTGTAGATTATCGGGAAGGTTAGAGGTGGAAGGACTCTGGAGAAGGCCTCATACAGAGTCGGAGGGGATAACTTCTCTCTCAGTTCCAAGGGAAAGGAAGCTGGAGGTTACTGCTGGGTGACAGGGGACTGTGTTAAGCAGTCCCGTCTGCAGCACCAGCAGGAACTCGGCCGTGTTAATGAGCAGACCGACGTGAACATGGAAGCACACAACTGGGGCATCACCTGGAGACTCTTGTTATCAGACCAGCCATACCACCACGAGCCAGTCTGCTGGACGGGACAAAACTTGCCTCAAGCAGACCCTCCTTGGATTCCTACCTATTGTGAAGTGCTCATTACTCTTCCAGGCGAGAGAACACAGATAAAGACTGGGGACAAGCTTCCTGCCTTAAGGGCCTTTTAATCTAACAGGGGAAACAGAGGTATAAACCCAACACCAGCTACTGAATGCGATGTGTTTGTGACAGAGAAAAGGGCTGAAGGGACAGCCAAATGGGTCTTTCAGGAGGACTCCAGTGTCACCCAGGGGAACAGAGGTCCAGGGCTTCCCGGAGGCAGGGAAAGGCACAGAGGCTCCAGGGTGGAGTATGTCTAGGAACCCGACTTTCAGAGTCGGGCTGGAGATTAAGGCACACAGAGTGAAGGAGAGTGAGCGGCCACAGTCCTGGGTGGCAGGCTGCAACCAGTCCATCCACGTGCCGTGGACACGAGTCTGGACCTTATCCGACAGGTAGGAGACGGGGACCCACAGAGGTCTCCAAGCAGGGCAGTGGCCCTCTCAGATTTGACGTTAAGAACTCTCTCTGGTGGCAGTACGAGTACCTGCTGGGTGGAATTTCACCTACGAAAGGTTGGGGGCACTCAGTCCGCATTTTGTGTTCAATTGCAATAACAATTTCCTCTTCCATCAGAAGTCTTACCGGGGTGTGGTCTTGCTCCAGGCCTGCAGTGTGTTCAGAGTGACCCTCCGGGATGGGTGGGCTTTCACATTCTGACTGCTGGGCTGCAGGGTCTTCTCCTCTGAAGATCCTGGCAAGGAGCTTCTGGCACCGGGAGCAGTCCCAGGGGTGTCCTTGGCCGCTGTTGAGGCTGGAGACTGTTTCACCTGAGGGGGGGGTGTACCCGGACTGCTGGGGTCTTGGGTTCTGCTGGTGGGGGTTCCCTCTGCCAGCCTGGGTCCTGGCAAAGACCCCTGGGGTGTCTGGCTCTTAGTTTTCTTTGCTGTATCAGGAGTTCTCACGCTCAAAACTGGCTTCTCTTTCAAAGGTATTCCAAGTTCATCCTTCTCAAATGTCACGAATGAACAATAACCATCCGTGGAAGAAATGGCCAGGAAGGCCCCATCGCTGGACCTTTGTTCCCAAAATAGGAGAAAAAGTTAGAAACCTTACCAAAATCTACAGGCCACTCCTAACACTCTCATTACTAGTTAGAAAATGGAAATTCAAGCAAAATCACAAGCTTTGTTTGAAGGCAACAGTCAGGGAAAAAATTGTGACTCAGAAAGGTTTGTGCGAGCTCCTCACTCACTCTTTCCTTCCCCAGCCCACCTTCATCTTCGAAGGCACCGCAACATCTCTGCACTGTCGTCAAAGTCACCTGAATTAAGGTGAGATGATCTTTTTTTCGCCAAGGTAAAAAGAAAATTAAGAGAAAAAGAGCAAGAACTAGATGGGGTGGGGGGGGGGCCAGGCCTCGGCTGGAGCTCGAGCTGAGCCCAGCAGGCTGTGGAGTCTGAATGGGACCCGGGGCGCTGAGGACCTCATGCAGAAAGGCGAGTGCAAGGCAAGCCTCAGGATAGGCACGGTTCTGGGGCCCCTCCCTTTGTGGGCAGCAGGGGCTTCAGGTGTGGGCTTCCTCGTGGAGGGCCTGGCAAGATCCCAAATGACCAGGGAGCCCATGGGGCTGCCCTCAGTGTACGAGAATTAGACAAACCCCACAGGGCACAGTGCGCAGCATCAGCACCCACTGCCATTACAACAGGAAGCAGTGTCACGGCAAATTAGAAGTGGTTTTCCTCCTCATGTTGATTCCCTTAAAAAAATTGGTAAGTAAGGGCCAAAAAAGCCACCTGTAGTGATGACAGGCTCCCTGACCCAAGCGTCTCCTCCAGGGTAATGTGCATGGTAGCTCCCCCATCCCCCTTCCTCTGCCCCAGCCACTCACCAGGAAAGGTCACTCAGGGTGTGGTAATGTATATTAGACACATAACCAAAAGGGAACAGCTGCTGGGTGTCGTACAGGAGCACAGAGTCTTCGGATGCCACAGCAAACACCAAGCGGTAGGGCAGGCTCACCAGCTCCACACCTGCCTCCTGTGGGGGTCCGTCTGCATCTGGGGAACGGGGACAAAGAAAGGGAAGTGAAACAAGCGAAAACAGAGTTCCCAAAGGAAACAAATAAAAAATTCCCCCCAGAAGCCCTCTTCCATGGGACATCAATGACATAATTTTACTAAAGACTAGTTTGCTATCTGCTTTACAAAAGAATTCAGTTCTATTATTTTATATGTGAATAAAGGAGAACCATGCATGAGCCAATGAGGACACAGTGTCATGATCCAAGAATCACAGGCACCTGAGGTCCCAAAAGAAGAGAAAAGAAAAGATGTGGGAAAGAGGCGAGTCAACCTGAGGGGTCACTTTCTGATAAGGAAAAATAAGAGTCTCATGGAAACATTTTATCAAGAAGCATTTTAACGCTCTTTCAAGTTAACTAAGGGGCCAGCCTGGCGGTGCAGTGGTTAAGTTTGCGTGCTCCGCTTCAGCGGGCCAGGGTTCACAGGTTCAGATCCCAGGTACAGACCTAGCACCACCTGTCAAGCCATGCCGTGGTGGTGTCCCACATAAAATAGAGGAAGACTGGCACAGATGTTAGCTCAGGGCCAAACTTCCTTACACACACAAAAACACTATATAGTCACAGTATCTTCACTCACATAAAGGATTAAAACGTTAAAACAGCTTCTGCTTCAAGCCATGGAGTAACAGGTCTCAATTTACCCTCCCACCTGAAACTACTAAAATACCAGGCAAAACACATGAAACAACATTTTTTAAGACACTGACAATCAGGCAATGAAGGAAAGTGATCCCTGAGAGATGGGAAACAAACAAGGCGAATCCCACAGTTGCCTCCGCTCACTGCCTGGGGTTTCCAGGCCCAGCAAAGGTGGAGGGAGCCAGGCAGTGCCCAGCAGCCACCCTGAGCTGAGAAGATGGAGCTGGGAGTCCAGGCAGGCCAGGGCAGTGGGGCTCACAGGGTGGAGGAGCAGGGGCGGGAGAGCCACAGAGCCCTGTGGGGCCCTCGGAGTCTTCTGCTGGGCTCTGGTCAGCACGAGCGTATGAGGAAATGACCCAAGGCCAGAGCAAGGACTACAGGAAAGAAAGAGCAGTCCCTGAAGCTCATGCATGGCCAGAAACAGTGTATGTCCCCACCAGCCAGGGTGGAAACCTCCCTGTTTCATGGGGTATCGATTAGAATCCCCAGAGGGCTCTGCCTCAGTCGTGGGGAAATCAGCCCCGATAAATGCTGCTGTGATTGCACCTAACAAAGTCCAACAGCAAGACCCATCGGAAGCAAACGTTTCCAGGGCCAGCCCGGTGGCGCAGTGGCTAGGTTCGCATGTTCCACTTCAGTAGCCTGGGATTCACTGGTTCAGATGCTGGGTGCGGACATGGCACTGCTTGGCAAGCCATGCTGTGGCAGGCGTCCCACATATAAAGTAGAGGAAGATGGGCATGGATGTTAGCTCAGGACCAGTCTTCCTCAGCAAAAAGAGGACTGGCAGTAGTTAGCTCAGGGCTAATTTTCCTCAAAGAAAAAAAAAAAGAAGCAAACGTTTCCAAAAAGCTTCACTGCATCCCAGAACAAAGCGCAAGAATATCTGTAAGAATAAAATATATCCAGCATCCACTAAGTAAAATTCACACTGTCTGACACCTAATAAAAAATTACCAGGCATGCAGAGGAGCAGGAAAATATGACCCACAGTGAGGAGAAAAAGAATCAAAACCAACCCTTTGTACACAAAGACATTAAAAGAGTTAGTACATGGGGCCGGCCCCGTGGCCGAGTGGTTAAGTTCTCGCGCTCCACTTCAGCGACCCAGGGTTTCGCTGGTTTGGATCCTGGGCGCAGACCTAGCACTGCTCATCAGGCCATGCTGAGGCAGCGTCCCATATAGCACAACCAGAGGCACTCACAACTAGAATATACAACTATGTACTGGGAGAGTTGGGGAGAAAAAGGAGAAATAAAATCTTTAAAAAAAACTATTCCACATGCTCCAGCAGCAAGAGGAAAGATGGAGCATGTTAAATAGAGACATGGAATATGTAAGAAGGACCCAAACTGAACTTCTAGAGATGAAAACTACAACGTCACAGATGGAAAATACACTGATGGCACCAAGGGCAGATTACACAAAGTAAACAGCATCAGTAAGATGGGAGGTACTTTCAAATGGCCTAAACATGTGTAGTTGGAGCCCCCGAAGAGGAGAGAGAGGGGGTGACAGAAAAAATGTTTGAAGAAATAATGGCTGAAATCTCCCAATTTGATGACTATAAGCTCATATATCTAAAAAGTTCAATGAACCCCAAACACAAGAAACATGAAGAAAATTACCTCAAGGCACATCATAATCAGACTGCTTAAAGTCACTGATAAAGGGAAAAATACTAAAAGCAGCCAGTGGAGAAAAAAAATTAAAAAACAAAAATCCAATTCATACGTTATTTTATGGCAAAAGAAATCGATAATGAATGACATTCAACCTGGTTTGGTAGAAAAACAATACTAGTACTTTTATTCCTGTAAAGTTGCTTTAAGCAAAGACAGTTTATTCCAGACAACGCAAAAAAACTGAAACACAGTTTGGAGACGTCAGCCTTTGTTCCAGCTCTTAAGAGTAACTAAAATGAACCAAACCCACATACTCACCTTCCCCACAAGTCAAAATCCAAATCACCACCCGACCTGGTGACCTGCCCCAGAGAGAAAACATAGCACAGCCCCTGTGCTTCCAACGTACCTGGTTCCACCCCCGGCCTCAACTCAAAGTAGACGGGACAGCAGCGAACAGCAAGCGTCGCTTTTCCAGGACACGGAAGATGAGCAACAGGCCTGAAAGATTGACCATGGTTTTAGGAAGAGGCACTGTTACTCAACGAAAGGAAAAAGAAAGGGGAGACATTTCAAACACGTCTTCAAGTGCATACCTTTTAAGATTTTTCCTGGAGAAAACATAAGTGGTATTCGTTACATTTTCACCAGACTCCACGCACCCAGCTGGGAAGGCAGAGGAAGGAAGGAGGAAGAGGAAGGGAAGACTGTTTCATTACACAGTTCACCAGCAAAAACCCAAGAGCAATCAAGTATTTGTAAAATATTTTCCCCGATAGATGTATTCCCTGGACAATGTTTTTGTGACGGAGGACAAATGCAAACATCCCGTCATAGTCTGGGCTCAGCCCTTACACCACTTCCACCCGTGTGTCATCTCATCTGAGGGGCTCGGCCGCCCCAGAGCCGCTTCCAGGCCTGGGCAGCAAGAACACAGAGCGGGGAGCCCTTGCTCCAGAAGCCCTCTGAGAGTCCAGCCAGCTGCTGCTGCTGAAGCCCTGTGAGGAGCTGCCGCGGCTCTCTCCCTGGATTCCGACCTCGGCTGCCACTCAAAGGCTGAGACTCGGGCCTCTTCCCATCTGCCTGATGGAGCCAGGAGGCTGCCAGGAGACCTAGCCCTCTGCTGAAATCTCCAGCCAACTGCAGAAGCGGACTTTGCTCTGGGGAGTGGCCCACATCTGACAGCTAGTCTACACTCACCCTGGGATGTACTTAAAGCAGGTCAGACCTCGTCCGAGAACGACTGTCAAACACAGCTGCTCTTGGAAACGTCTCCCTGCTTTATGTTAATATGTCTTCAGACACATACGCACATATATAATCTTACATGTGAGCACTTCATATCGACTGGGGAGGGCAGTCGACAGTATCAGTAGTCTTTCTTTTCTCTCCCCATCTCACCCCATCCTTCCATCCCCAAGTAATCCATTTGAACAAACCATGACGTCATTTCTGCATTTCCTCCCTGCTCACATAATCACTCAATGTGTTAAGACTCAATCGCACGTACACTCATATGGTGAGGTGTTTTTAGTCTGTTTTACAAAATGGGGTATTATTTACACTTTTCCTTATTTTGCTTTTCTCAGTTACTCATGAAAGTTAACTTGCACAGCACTAACATTCTTTTTTAGTAGCCGCCTAATATTCACTGGTATGAAAATACCATTTCATTCACCCAACCTCCGTTAATGACTATTGTTTTGTTTTTGTCTTTTTACAACTACAAACAATGCTTGCAATAAACACCCTTACACGTATACTCTTACATACTATGTTTTCATTTCTTAAGGAACTGAGTCTCAGATGAGGAACAGATTGGCTGAAGGGTACGTGCATTTAATGGTTAGCAGACTGCTTTCCAAAAAGGCTCTCACAATTCTTATTCCCATAGCAACACCCACATTCCACATGCTCATCGGCAATAGATATTTTCAATTTTTTCCAGTCTGAAAAGAACAAAGAGATACCTAATTGTGCGTCACTTTAATTCGTATTTCCCTATTATTGAGTTTCTCAACCTTTCTCCATGTGTGCTGAACACGGAGATTTGTTCTTCTGTGAACTGCCCTTTTGTGCTCTTCACTCATTTTATTTCTTCTGGGTTTTTCTTTTCTTCTATTTTTTGTTCTTCTTGTCAATTTGGAAGAGTCATTGTATATGATATACATTAGTTTTCTGTCTCCTGTATCCTAAACATTATTTTCGAGTTCCATCATTTGTCTACTGATTTTACTTTCTGTATTTTTGCTATACAAAAGTTCTACAGCCAATTATAGTCAGATAGGGCTATCATTTAAGAGCTTCTGGGTCCCCATTCCTAGAATGTCCTCCTAGATTTTCTTGCAAGAGATTTACATTTTTACTTTTTATATTTAAGTACTGAATTCACCTGGGATTTATTTTTTATACATAAGTTAGGGGTCCAATTTAATTTTCTTCCACACAGCTGGACATCCCAGCACCATTCACTCAATAATCTATTTTTCCCACAGAAATACCACCCAGGTCATATACTAAATTCCCTTCTATCCCAGCATCTATTTCTGGATTCTCTGTTCTGGTCCACTAATCTATATGTTTATTCGTATACCAATACCATGTTGATTTGATTACAGTAGCACTCCAGTATCTTCTGACATCTAATCAGGCAAATGCCTGCTCAAGTATCACTCTTATTTTTCATACTTTTTTTGACTATTCTTCAGCATTTATTCTCCTAAACAAAGCTGAGACGTCATCAAGTTAAAAAAAAAAAAACCACCTCTAGTGAGATTCTAATTGGAAATCAATTAGTATGTTAATTTTTAGAACATAAAATATCTTTCCATTTGTTCAGAACTTGTTTTATAACCTTCAATATGACCTTCTAGTCTTCTTCATAAAGGCTTTGTGCCTTTCTTATTAAATTTTTTCCCATGTAGTCCCATGTTTTATGGGTTTTGCACTATAATGAATGGAATCATTTTCTTTTTTACGTTTCTAAGTACTTATTATAGTGTAGAAGATAAAGGTTTTTATGTATTTCACAATATCCAGCCACCTATTACTTTTTTTTATTCTGATAGTACTTTTTAAATCTCTTGGATTTTTCTAGAAACATAATCCTATCACAAAGTTTGCTCTCTTCTTTTCCAATCTTTGTAACTTCGTTTTCTCATTTTCCTGCACTTGTTAACCCCACAAAGAATAATAATGGTGATAGCAGGCACCCATCTGGTACCCGATTTTAAATGAAAACCTTTGGTAAACACACCTGGTGTGAGGAGCAGAGATCCATCAGGAGTAAAACTCAATCTACGAAAGAACGACTTCATGCTGTCATCATGAAACATCCGGTAACTTCTTGCCTGTGGTATACAAAGTTTAAACATTATTCCAAATCTTTACATTCACAATAAAGGCTTATCAATTCCTACATTCTTTTCTTTACACATTGTCATTTATTCCTGACATAATAAATGAAACTGAAGCATATTACAAATCAAATAATCCAAGACTGCGAGAGTAATCATTCATGAACTGATCACCCATTTTTTAAAGGAAAGATTTAAGTGTGTATGTGTATGTGTTTATGTATACGTATATGTGTTTACGTGGTTCTACAATTAGTTAAAAAAAAAAAACCTGTGTAAGAACACACACGACACTGTCATCAGTGGTTTGTCTGGGGAATGAGCCTGGAAGAAAGCAGCAAGATGACTAGGAGCCCTCTGCTTGTTATCTGTGTGTATACATTTAGAATTTCCAACTGAATGAACACTTTTTAAAAAGAAACAGTCAGTTATTAAACTGGCAATCACATCATATTGTCTTTTCAAACAACATTTCTTGAACACTATGTGAAACCATTCACTGACACTTTATAAACATTAGGCATTTGACTCTAAAGAGCCCAAGGAACCACTACTCCTCCTACTGGAAGCGTGTGGCGGCTCTGTGCTGGCTGGCTCGAGGCCCACACTGCCTCAGTCTGCCGCCCTAGGACTGGATTCACACCACGTCCCTCTTTTGTTCCAGTAACTGATTTGCTCCCTTTCACCTCAGTGGCTGCCTCAGTAGTCTTGATTCCTCTAGCACCAGGTCCTATTTTCATTAGCTAGTTCTTTCAAGGGTCAAAATCCTTCTTATTCCTGAATGCCAGCCCAAAGCCTGGGTCCCTGCTGTCTGCTACCAGAGTTCTCTACCTACTTCCCAAGACAGTGGACTGCCTGTGGCCAGACAACCCCATGCTCAACTCCCCTGCCTTCCTGTGGCCTAGAGCTGGGATCCTCCCAGGTCGGTAGTGCTCGACCCTTGCTGCACCTCAGAATCCCAGAGGCCCTGCCTACCTCTAGCCAAGTGAATCATATCTCTGCGAGTAGGGCTCAGGCACCCATATTTTTTAATGCTTCTCAGGTGACTGCACAGTGCAACTAGGGTTGGGAACCACTATCCTCCATGATCAGCTGTCCCCCAGCCCCCAGATGTCCCTGTTTCCAGACAGACCAGCCCACGACAGTAACTGAGGCTTGACTGTCTGAGAGGAAGTCTTATTGTGGTTCTGGCATGGGGTCCTGGAGACCAGTGATTTAGCTGCAAGACACGAAGGAGCTCATGACTTCCTAAGTATCAACTGAAGTCCTGCTAAAATGAAACGTCAAAATATGGTATACCTCTCCTTCAGCCCCTATTCCAGACAGCATCTTTGAAACATTAAAAGCCACACGCTTCTTCTGTGTGCTGTACACCCTCAGGATCCTAAATAAAGAAGAAAAGTCTGATTTATCTCTTCTAGTAAATGAATTCTGTTTCACATAGAAATAATTTATTACCAACACTGAAGACTGTTTACATAACTGTCAGCCTGCAAAACTGTTTACCAATGACTTTCACACTTAACTGAGTAGTTATGACAGAAGCAAGTATTAATGACCTAGAGGATATCACTAATGAAGTGGAAAGCAGTCATCATTTCATTTGTCACAGAACGTTTCGACTTCTCAAGTAAGATATACTTCAGGCCTGGCCTGATTTTTCAGGTCTTGGACATTCAGCCCAGTGGCAATTTGTTTATTTTGTGTTAAATGGTCTCGCCCTGAAGAATTTACAAGAGTAAAGAAAACCCCAGCAGGTAAATTTGGTTGTTAGTAATTCGTATCTTTCCCACTAGTTATCAGATTGTTTCCCTCCTAATTGCCTGATTAAAACAGGGATGATATCAGAAAATAAATGACACCTGGCATATAACACAAGCGTTTATGAAAAATAAACAGTAACTCTTCCATATTGCTTTCATTCCAGGGCCATCTGAAACTAAATTTACTATAAGTAAAAGTAGTTGGGGGGCGGCCCAGGGTTCACCAGTTCAGATCCTGGGTGCGGACATGGCACCGCTCACCAAGCCATGCTGAGGTGGCATCCCACATAGCACAACCAGAGGCACTCACAGCTAGAATCTACAACTATGTACTGGGAGGCTTGGGGAAGAAGAAGAGAAAAAAAAAATGATTGGCAACAGATGTTAGCTCAGGTGACAATCTTAGAAAAAAAGTAGGTAGATAAGTATTCAAAAGGACTATTTTGACTGAGAAGTAATATGTCTGACACCTGATTTTTTTTTCCAATTCTTTGTTCTAGGAATGCAATTAAATGCAATTATACCAGTAAACACAGCAATAAGACCTCCCTTCAAAAAGGACAAAATATTTTATTTCTATATTAACTTAAATGAAGTCATTAAAATCACTCTAATAGTAAACTATAATCAAAAAATGAAATAAATAGTCCAAGCCTACCACTAGGTACCTCTTCTTGCTTAAGTCATATTTATAAGAGACTTTTTCTTTAAAAGTTGCCCTTGAAATTCAAATGTAATTCAAAGCTCTTTCTGCTTTCATTCACCCATTCAATAAAGATTTACTAAGTGCTAACTTTGTGTAAGGCACTTGCCCTAATTAGTTTCCAACTTCTTATTACGTTGTAAGAATAACAGTAAAACAAATGCTTTATATGAAAACAGGAACAGAAGAATCAAAGCTAGACTATGGTTTATATTGGTTACGTTGTGATAAAAATACCTCTACAGAAAATTTCAAGCAAACAGAGATGAAGACAACTCACCAAACACAACGTACCTGTCACAGCTTAGGGTAGCAACATACTGACCCAAAGGATCCCAGGTTATACCTTGCACATAACTTTTATGTTCGTTAAAAATTGAGATCTTTTGTCCTACAAATAAAGCACACAACAGCATTACAAAAACCTACTCAAGCACAAAGGGCATAAACTACAGTTTAAACACTATTCCCTTTCTACCATTCCACAATTCAGCAGGCGGTCAGTGAGACACTCTGTAGCTAACCCTGTGCCAGGCTCTGGGGACAGAAAGATGACTTCACACAGTTCCCACTCCCCAGGAGCTCACAGCTTTGTGGGAGAGACGGACCCATGGACAGGCAAACACACTGCAACATGATATGGAGGAGCTGGGCAGCGGACAAAGCCGGGGTGAGGGTCTGCAAGGAGATGAGCTCGGAGTCCAGTTCTCCAGGTCAGGCAGCATGAGGGTCAACGAAGGGGAGAAGGTATTCTAAGCAAATCCTCGGGGTAAAAGCTTGGGCACACGGAGCAACAATAAGTCACTGAGAACTGCTAACAGGTAAGGTGCGAGTCCAAGGAGGGCAAGACAAAGAGGAAAGGTGGGATGTCACAGAGACCTTTGTGGACAAGGAAAAGGCTCTGCGTATTCAAGATGTGGGCTAAGGGGATCACACTTCAGCAAAATCCTAAGCTGGGAAGTGATCTGCATCATAAAGATGAAACTGAAGTTTCCAAAAGTGTACAGACCAGGTGAGAGATGAGGGCCTGGAACAGGGCAATGCTAACAGGGATGGAAAAGGAACTTTGGGGGAAATATCTGGAAGATGAAACCAGTAGCACAAACGATTACCTGGATAAACAGAGGAGGGAGTTAGGAAGCCTTGGCCATTTAAAAAAAAAAAAAAATCCAAAACCCTCTTCTCTGCGAGTGGTCTACACTCACTCACTCATTCACTCTCCAACTGTCTCCCCTTGCATTCACTCAACCTGCTGCATTCAGTCCCCACCCCCCACCAAAGCTGCCAGGGACCTGGAGACGGAAAACGGAACGCACAGGTGCCAGGCTAACCGTCCCGCCCTCTCTGCTCCACCTGACATCCTTCAAACTCTCCTCGGGGAGTCTGCTAAGATTAAGGTGGCTGGGGTTAACAAGAGGGCTTACGGAGAGAGCTGTGGAGGTTTGGGGGAGCTACTGAGAGAACAGGAGGGGGGTCTCACCTCACGAGTGAAAGGGGATGGGGGACACTAAGACCCCACCAGAGGCTGGTGAGGAGAATCTGTAGTGGCTCAGTCTGCAGGGTGGCGGGTGTTTAACCAGCTGGGCTCAGCCCGGGACCAGGAAACTAAAAGGGGCATTGTAACCCTGTCCCGGGTTGGGGTTTGTCTTGATGGGTAAGATGGAAGAAAAGGGTTCAAGGGAATTGACTAGGTTAATAAATGATCATCTTTGCGAGCAAGCTGGACAGAGGAAATAACAGAGGCCAGGAGGGGCTGACAGACCAGGAAACAGGGAGCTCAGGGAACCCGAGGGCTCTAGGAAGAAAAGGAGCAGGAAGTAAAGGTGGCGAGAGAACTGAAGGCGAAGGTTCTGGTGGGAGAGCGAGACACCTGACTTAAGATGTCACCGACAGAGCAGTTAAAACCACGGAAGTCTTCAAAGAAGCCCAGCTAAGAGAACTGTGGACCGACTGCCTGACAACTCTGGATTAGGCAAAAGTTCTTTTTGAAAAGGCTATCTTGAGGATTAGGACTCAAACACTGGAGGAATTAAGGTGATGGGCACTAGAACATGTGAAATTCACAACACGTGAAATTCCTTAAATAAAAATTTACTGACTTTAGGGGTCAGCCCTGTGGCCGGGTGGTTCAAGTTCTGCAAACTCCGCTTTGGCGGCCCATGGTTTGCAGGTTTAGATCCTGGGTGCAGACCTACTCCACTCATCAGCCATGCTGTGGAGACATTCCACATACAAATTAGAGGGAGACTGGCACAGATATTAGCTCAGGGCTGATCTTCCTCAAGCAAAAAACGAGGAGGACTGGAAATAGATGTTAGCTCAGGGAGAATCTTCCTCACCAAAAAAAAAAAAAAAAAATTATTGACTTTAAATAATTTTACCTATGTTACATATAATAAAAAAGAAAGCCTTCCCCCCCCCCGCCAAAAAATGACAGATCCAGCATGTGACACTGACTTCCACACTCCCTGCCAAAACTGCTCCTTCCCCACCATGTCCCTAATCTCAGGAAATGGCACCAATATTCACCTGGTTATTAAAAAGCATGGCGTTATCACTAATGCATCATCATCCTATCAGCTTTTTCCTCAAATTACATCCTAATCAAACCCATTCTCACCCCTTCCATCACTAGCACCACAGCCCAAGCCATTATCACTTCTCTCCTGAATTACTTCTATAGCACTAGCAGGTTCCCTCTCTTCTCTTGTGTTCTCCAAAGATAGATTTGCCATGTGCCACCCAGGGACATCTTTTTAAAACGTAAATAAAATCAGGTTACTCCACCGCTCAAAACCCTTCAGCAGCATGCTGTCACACTTCGGATAGAATCCAAACCCTTTCCACAGGCTACATTAAACCTGTTTGCACATTCATCTGACATCCCACTAGAATGCAGCCACTTTGTTTCTGTATTTTACCACTGCCCGAAATAGTGCCCAGCACGCTGGCAATGTTCAAGGTGACTACAACTGGCTTCAGGGGGCAGTGGATGGAGACTGTCCACAAGGAGGCAGAAATGATCCAGGACAATGGCCAGATCTGGGGTAGAGAGGAAGACAGTGACACTGGTCCTCTGTTTTGCTGAATGTTGGGACTGATTAGAAAGAGTGTGAGAGATGAGGCAAGAGAGAGGGTGGTTAGCTGGGTGGCACAGAACTAGAAACAAGAGAGGCTTTTACAGAGAGAATGAAAAGTGGACTGGCGCAGCGCTGTGGCAGGAATGCCCCTCCACCTCCGGACTCCTGCCAGGGCACCTGGGGGTGGGAGAACCGGCAGCCTGCAAGTGAGAGCAGAGGAGAGCAGGGGGTGAAGGAGAACACATCAAGCTGGAGCAGAGGACTGCACGGCTGTTAGGCAATAGCCACCACTGGCTTTTGGCATTTCACTGCTATTTTTATACTGCTACAACTTCTCACACGTCTGCTCTCTCCCCAGCTAGAGAACAGGATCTCTAAAACCTGCAAAATGTCCCTGGCTTTCCTTCATCTCCTAAAATGGAAACTTGATCCTACCTACCCCATCAATGAGCACGCAATGCTCCATTAACAATAATGACTTGCTAATCTCCCTGAGATCCTAAGCTCACGAAGGCAGGAATCAGACCTCGCCCCTCATGTCTGCATCCCCAGGATGTGAGACTCACCTTGCTTCAGCACCACTAACTCATGACACCACTGCTAAGCCTCATGCATTCTGGTTGGGGCCCTTAAAACTGAGCTGGATCCATGGCATATGAGGCTAATCTCTGACCTGTTGAGCCAACCACCTACTTTAGTTCACTAAAGGAACTCTTCTCGTTGCCTTTAAAGGTAAAGCAGGGGAGGTTTTTTAGACAAAGAATATTCCTTCCCCTGATAACAACAAAAACGTATCAGCTACCTTTACTGACGTCCCATATGATGGCTGTGTTATCCACAGAGGCAGAAGCCATTAAATTCCCGTCAGTTGCCCAGCAAATATCATACACATCTTCCAAGTGGCCCCTAGAATCCAAAGAGGAAAAAACGGAGAAGAAGCAATTCTTGTCTCAAGGAAGGAAAAACTATCAAAAATTTAAAGGCAAACTCAGGGACCTTACATTAGAATGGGATTCTAGAAATTTCCACCAGAACTTCATTAGCCATAATTATAATATACTATCTTCAAGGATATCTGCTTCTTTAAAAGTGATTCAGTTTTACTAAGAAAAATTTTATAGCAGAAACTAAGAAAATCCATTTCAATCATGTTTTTATCTTTTAAAACTATTCTCTTATTTCTGTCTTGCGTAAGTAAAAGTTTTAAGTTAGATATAAAAGTCAAAATGCATATCAGTCAAATGCACTCAGATGGTAAAGATGAATCAGGGCCGTGGTCCCTCCCACATTACCTCAGGGTTTTTACGACAGTCCAGTTCTCCTTATTCAGCTGAGCCTCATCCTCATCCTGAAAACCTATCTGTTCTGGCTCCTTGTTATCATTCACCTTCCACAACAGAATGACAGCATCTGTGGAGCAATTCAATCAAAGATAAGCCAAGCTTTATTGCACACCTCTTCATTTCTGGAATTTTAGAGTATTAAAAAATATTTATGTTGTTCAAATAGACACTATGGCCATGATGATTTACTTCTAAGAATTAGGACAGGAAAAGCAGGTTTGCCTTTGAAGTAAAACAAAATCAAACTCATATCAGATCAGAGCTATGCAAAAGTCACCTTAAACAGAAGGGTCTCAGGCTAGCAAAACGCCACCACAAAGCGACTGACTACATTCACAAATCTAGAGGCCTAACCTATAAATGGCTGAATGGAAAAAAAAAAAAACAACAAAGAGCCACCAACGCGAGGGCTGGCAAATGGTTCCTAGCTGTGTAACCTTCAGCAAGTTACTTACCATCTTGAGGCCTCAGTCTCCTCCCCTGTGAAATGGGAATAATAACAGTATACCTCCCTCATAGGGTGGTTGTGAGGATGAAGTGAGTTAATATGCATAAAGCACTTATAACACAATGCCTGGCACATGGTAAGCCCCTAGATGTGTTAGCTATTATCATCACGGAAGTATCAGATACCTTAGCCTGACATCATCGAGCGTCTGAGTGCTCTATCCCCCCACACTGACTCCATGCCCACGACATAACCTACTGACCGTGACTCAGCTTCCCTTTCAGGAACACTCATAGGAGGAGACTGGATGAGCCGGCTGTATGGACACATGCGTTCTCATTCTAAGTTAACTGCGATCCTGGTTGTGTAGCTTACTCAGGGAGCTTGGCTGAGATGAGACCAGCCCAGACAGATGGACAGTCTCCACGTGCTGACTAACAGCAGGTGTCTGGGCCTCCAAGGCCAAAGGACTTTGCAAAATGACTGCTGCCCCGTGCAACCTCACAGAAGACACTCTGCCAGCCTCCTCCAGGGGATGTTCCTACTACACACACACACTCACTCTCTCTCTCTGGACACCATGGCACCGAACTCAACCATGTCTCTTTTCCTCCTTCTAACAAAATCTGAGATTTCTGTTTTATTTTGTACCGATTTCTAGACTGTACTAATGCTAAAACACGGTGAAAAGATTTACTTTGTCTGTACAGTTTTACGCCATTCAAGCACAAGCAAAAAATATGAATCAATCCACTTCCACGGAACAAATATAATTTATAGCGCCACTTAGATGATACTCCCTAAGCCAACTAATTAATTAATTACACAGAGACACGGAACGGACTGTGATCACTACAGAAACTAAACTAACAATCACACAAGGCCAGAACAGTTGCCTTGGGACTCTGACAGAATGGCAAGCACCTTCCTACTTGTCTCCAAACAGTCCAGTGGGAGCAAGTGGGAAAGGGGCCATTCTCAAACGGGTCTCAGTTTAAGCTTGCTGTCCTCTATCCGCTCACACTCCCCAGAATATTTTACTAAACTACCTAAATGGCAGATTGGGAGAGTCAAGCAACCTCTAAAATAAAAAAGCTATCCAGCTCACATCTCACTATTTAACATGAGACACACAGGGATCTGGTTTCTAATGAATTCTGAAGTACAGCAATACTCACCATCTCCTCCTGATGCTAAAATTTCCCCATTTGGAGAAAAACGCACCACATTGACCGCTTTGGTATGGCGAGCAAGATTGGACAAAAATTCCACAATGGCCTTTCCATCTGGTCCTTTTTCTACCTTCCAGATCTGTCGATAGCAAAACATTCACTCAGAGAAACATATAGTGAGCACCTACCATATTGTGCATATTAAAACAACCCTATGCTTATTTTCAGGAAGAAAATTTAGTTTTTCCTTTGCAACGTAAATGGAAGGGACTTCTATCTGAACCATAAACGAACAGTCCAATTGCCTGTTATCCTCCCTCCTTCTAGTGCATATTGTTCCCCAATAGGAACCTGGTTCAGGATTCCAAAATAACGGGCATCCAGTTACATCACCGTGTGGAACATTACCCAGCGAAGAAAGCTGCTCTCTTTTGCTTTCATTGATCACTCAAGACCCTGAGAATTTATCCCTCTGAGCTAGACGAGGAAGTAGCTGGAATTTGTTGACATTCGTTTTAAATCAAAGAATGAAGAATGCTGATTCAATAGTGCTTGCCGGTGCCTTTCTGTCTCCGCCCCACTTACCCGAACAGTGGTGTCCACCCCTGCCGACGCCAGTCTGTGGATCCTCCCGGCCGTGCCATGCTGGAAGTCCAGGCTGTACACCGGCTCCTTGTTGTGCCAGGCTATTTCGCAAGTGATGACTTTCATCCTCCTGTGTCTTGAAGCGGCAAAAATAATTCCTCGGGCACTGTTTTTTCCCAAAGACAGAGGAAAGCTGAAAAATCGTTGGTAATGAAATGAATATTATAGCAGGAAAGGTTTATTGAACACTTATTCCGAGCCAGACACCCTGCTAACCATTAAAAGCACACGCTGTATCGGGAAAGGATGTTAATGCTGACCTCTAACATTACACCTTGCAAGGTCCACCTAAAAGGCTTCGCTGAGCCGCGGCTGTTTATTCTCCTGCTACGTCCGGAAAAACAAAATGGAACACTCAAGGCAGAGATCAAGGGGCCGGGCCAGCTGCCCGACTGCCTCCGGGGCGCCTGCCCCGGGCAAAGGGCAGCCTAGAGGAGGGGACTGCAGGAGGAGGGGGCTGCCTGGGGGAGGGGCCTGTAGGAAGAGGGGGCTGCGGCAGCCCCGGGGAAAAGGGGCTGTCTGGGGAAGGGGCGGCCTGGAGGAGGGGACTGCAGGAGAGGGCAGCCCAGGGCAGAGGGCTGCAGGAGGAGAGGGCTGCTCGAGGGAGGGGGTTGCCAGGGGGAGGGGGCTGCTCCGGGGAGGAGGCCGCAGGGATTGGAGGCCGGGCCGCGGCGGACCCCCTCCTTCCCAGGGGCGGGGCTGCCCGGGGCAGGGGGCCGCCAGAAGGAGGAGACTGCCCGGGGGAGGGGACCCCCCCTTCCGAAGCCGCAAGGGACGGGGCGCTCGGCCCGGAAAGCCGCGACCCGGCCTGGCGGGATGGAGGCCGCGCGGGGCCTGGGCCCGGACGGAGACCGGCCTCCTGAACACGCGCTCCTCCAGAGCTCTCCCGGGCCCCCACGGCCCGCCCTCAGAGAGAGCCTCTCGTCTTAGCGGGGCCGGGAGACCCGGGGGCCGCCGGACCCAGCGCCGGGGAAGCCGTACCTGAAGGGACGCGGCAAGTCAGCGGCGCCGCCACCTCCCGCCGCCGTGCGCGCCGCTTCCCGCGCGCCGCAGGCCACGCCTCCGCGTGGGCGGGGCTCCGTGGACGCCCCACCTCCTCGTGGGCGGAGCCACAGGCCGCCCCGCCCCAGCCCGGAGGCAGTGGGTGGTGCAGCGCCACTGAGTCGTCAGAATCACTAATTCCCTGCTGGACCGACGCACGGGTGGAAGAATGGGTGAGTTCATCAATCCATTAGTTAAATCACGTTTTACCTTGTTGATTCATTCTTTTAGCAAATATTTACTGAGCATCTGCTATGTGCTGGACCGTATGCCCGCGCTGGATACACAGTGGCGAGCGAAGCTCAGACTTACCCTCAGGGAATTTACAGTCCAGGAAGGGAAAAGAAGAGCTGTCCTGTAAGACTGGTGGGAGGCTGTAACTCTGAAACCTGACCAAGACTACCAAGTGTTTCACTGGTATAGCGAATATTTGAGAGCTGTAACCTGTATCAGGCCCCGTTTTGGCCTCTAGAGTTTCAGTCATCAATAAAACCCAGAGACTGTCTTCTGGCCTCCTGTAGTCATGTTCACAAATAATTATAATAAAAAGATAAAGTGCAAGGAGCGTGAAAGGAACAGTGTGCTCTTACAGTTCTGAGGATGAGCTTATTTTGAATCTGAAGGCTCAAAGGATTTGAAGAGAAGCGGGCATTTAAAATGGCCTTCAGGTGACAGTTTTGGATAAGCAGCTCTGGGATATAGGGATTCAAGCTAAAGAAACTCACAGTTGACAGGAGAGACACAAAGGGGGAGCAATGGGACAGCCGATGGAAAAGGATGGATGGGCAATTAGCCTGGAAACCTTTGGACGTGAATGAGCAGGTCATATGAACGTGTGTGTTTCAAAGGCAGTTTTTACTCTCATTCTAAATTAACTGGAATCCGGGTTGCACAAACTAATCTGGGAGTTTGGATGAGATGACAGATAGACACTCTCCTTGTACAGACTAACAGCGGGTTTCTGGGCCTTCAAGGCCAAGGGACTGCAAAATGAGTGTTGCCCTATGCCAGCCTGCCCCAGGTGACTCTCCCACCCCCGTTTCCCTCTTCTCTCTCCTCTCCGTAGACATCATGGCACTGAAGTCAACAAGGTCTCTTCCTCTTTTTGCAAACAACAGTTGACATTTCTGTTTTTTATATATTGGCTTCTAGAACATTTTGGAGAGTACAAAGCTATGGGATTGTTCAGTTCCTGGATTGCTTACATTATACCTCAATTAGCAGAGGTGGTTATAAACACTTTTTAAAAACAGAATTTAACATTTTAAAGTGAGGGTGAGGTTGTAAGTCAGAAGGCAGAAATGGATGTAGCAGGCCCTTTGAAATGGGATAATTTCCCAGATGGAATAATTTATCCATGAGCTTCCTGGAAGGCCAGGAAACAAACACCTGGTGATGCAGAGCATTTACTTGATAAAAGGAACATCCATGTCCATCTGAGAAGTAAACTCTTCCTGGCATGTTTAGGAAGAAGAATTGACATGGATTCTTATATAAATGCTGGTTGATACTTTTAGCTAGTTTTATGAAAGGTATAGAAATTGTCTACAAATGGATGCCTCATGTTGACAAGAATGACTGGAGCCTCCTTAAGCCTGGTTTCTTGGGAAGCTAGGATAATGTAATCCAGATACACAGCTTTTAGGTATTCTCTCTTAAATCATGGCTTGGATTTAGAGAGCTTGGACTGGGAGTGACTAATATGTACTGCAGATAATCTGGCTGTTTCAAAAGTACAGATTCCTGCCCCCACCCAGGCCCACTGATTCAGAATATCCAGCAGAGGAGCCCAGGCACCTGCATTTTCACAAACTCCCAGGTGAGTCTGATAATCAATCTGGTTTGGAAAGCCCGGGGTTCAGTGTCTCTTGTAACCATCAGGTTTCTCCAAATTTCTGACAAATGCTGTCAATTCATAAATGAATCCTCTGATCATCTCCTGAAGTGCTAGGATTCTAGACTGTGGATTAAAAAGATAAGACATATGCTTAGGTACTAAATATACATGAAAGAGTTGGCTTTCTGGATGAAAATTTTGGGGACCTGACATCAGCGCCTGCCTGGTGAGCCGTCACATGCAGGAGATGGTGGCCCAGAGTGGGGCCCTGGGCAGGGCCAAATATTTTCTCAAAGAAGAAAAAAGAGGGGCCGGCTCCGTGGCCGAGTGGTTGAATTTGTGTGCTCCGCTGCGGCAGCCCAGGGTTTGGATCCTGGGCGTGGACATGGCACCGCTCATCAGGCCACGTTGAGGCGGCGTCCCATATGCCACAACTAGAAGGACGTGCAACTAAGATATACAACTATGTACGAGGGCGGGGGGGGGGGGGGGAGGGGGTTTGGGGAGGTAAAGCAGGAAAAAAAAAAAAGAAAGAAAGAAAGAAAAGTATTTGGTTGAGACCCCAGTGTTTTGCACCAGGCTGGACTAAAGAAGTTCTACTGCGAGTGGTTCCAGCTAGATGCCTCAACCACCACCGAACTTCAGTGTGAGCCCCAGCATTGATTTTAGCAGAACTGTATCACTCTAAGGGGACCAATGTTATCTGGTCTCGCAAGAACTTTTCTCTGGTGAAAATTAATATAAAGGCAATAAATCTTAACTTGGCTTCAAAAACAGACTTCTCTGAATCCACTCTACTATGATTTCCTTTTCGAAGTGTGAAAACTCTGGAATAAAAATCTGAAGTCAGAATACGTACTAATAAAACATTATTAAAGAATAGGAAATAGGAATGCACAAAAAATTTAATAGCAGAAATTGAAACTTTAATAAAGGGTTGGGAAAAGAAGCTGAGAAAATTTTATCAGAATAAAAAGACAGAGGAAAAACAGGAGAAAATGACAGAAATAGCACAAGAGAATACATAGGACCTCTGGCACACTGCTGGTGGAAGTATAAATCGATACAAATTGCTATGGACTGAATGTTTGTGTCCCCCCAGAATTCCTGTGTTGAAGGCTAATCCCCAATGTGATGGTATTTAGAGGTGGGGGCTTAGGGAGGTAATTAGGCTTGGATGAGGTCATGGGGGTGGAATTGGTGTCCTTATAAGAGATGAAGAAACTTGACACTCTCTCCCACTGCCATGTGAGGAGACCCTGAGAAGACAGCCATCTCCAAATCAGGAAGAGGGCCTTCACCAGACACCCGGGTCTGCTGGCACCTTGATCTTGGACTTCCTAGCCTCCAAAACCATGAGAAATAAATGTTTGTTATTTAAGCCACCCCGTCTATGGTGTTTTTGCTACAGAAGCCTGAACTAAGACAAATACTTTAGGAAACTGCTCAGTAGTTTCTAATAAAGTCAAAGTCCCTGTATTCCTTGGTATATACGAAAGAAAAATGCATAAGAATGTATATAGCAGCTTTATACATAATAGCCCAAATTGGAAAGAATCCAAATATCCATCAATAGAAGAAAAGGTAACCAAACTGTGCCATATCCATACAATGGAATTCTATTCTGTGATCAAAAAGAAATACTGACACATGCAACAGCATGGATGAAGAAGCATTATGATAAACAAAAGAAGAAATTATTTCAAGTGATTGGCAAACAGAAATGTGATGATATCCCAAAGAAACCTTAAACTTTCTCAGTCATCCTGTGGTTAAAGTGATATTGATGTTGTTACATATGTATATACATACATATGTGTTTATCTATATATTGGGAAAAGCAAGTAAATAATTATATTTTGGGGTTAGGAACCAAGATTTCCAGCAAAAAAGACTAGAAATCTAAAATCTAAGAAAATTAATAAAATCACTAAATTGGCAATATTGGTATATATGTTCAATATATATTTTCTTTTTTAAAAAAAGAAGGGTTTCCTAACTCAGTCCACTAAAAAGGCCTGCAAGAAATGCCCAAACAAGAAGCATTGACTATATCTGTGCCTAGATTATGGTCTCCAAATAGCATGCCCATGAAAAGAACCAGAGCTCCTTGGAGAAAAGGATGTTTCCATGTCCAGAACAGGAAATGTATTTGATGAGCCTGAAACCTTATTATACCAAAAGGGAAGAAAATCATCAGACTACTAGGATTATGTAACAAAAACATAGGAGCCAATCTGAAGAGACCTCCAGCCAAAGTGAGACAATTTAACATTGGAAAATTGCCACAATGGATTGAAACACATTAAATGTTAAAATTCACAAGTTCATAATGATATTAACAACAATAACAAAAACCTCATTGGTTACCTTTGGAAGAAATCTGGAAACGAGGTATGAGTCAAGCATTTATACTGCCTATTCTGTATGAACTGTACCTCAGGATAACTAAATAGGTTTTCTTTATAGATTTCCCAATTCAAAAGGAATAATGAAATTTGAGTATCACCATTTCACAACTCCTAATAATGGATTTACGTGTGATTATTAATGGATGCTAAAATCATTAGGTAAAAGACTGATAGGAAACTTTATAAGGGATGGATTAGGATGACACCACCTAAACTCACTGATTAATCTTAACATAACAAAAAGAGACAACTATACGTTGTGTACCTCTTAATATGATACAACAGGAAGAATATAGTAGCACCTAAGAAGAATTCTTCAAAAAAACCCAAAAAATGAAACAGAAAAAGAACTTGAATCTGATTAACTCTGTAGATCTACCTACCAGTTTACAGAAATACAAGAGAGACATTTTTAAAAAATTAATGGTACCCAAATGAGGGATTCTAAAAGAAAAATGTTCTTGTTTCTTCAACAACTAAAAAGGAAGAAAACAAAGGAGAAGACAAACTGACAAAACTTTAGCTAGATTGACTAAGAAAAAAACCCCACAAATTACTAAAATCACAAAAGAAAGCAAGGATATTACTACTGATGTTATGGAAATAAAGAGGATTATTTTTATGGAAATAAAAAGAGAATACTGGGGCCGACCCTGTGGTCAAGTGGTTAAAGTTCCGAGTGCTCTGCTTTGGCGGTCCAGTTCACAGATCTGGATCCCCGGTGCAGACCTACTCCACCGGTCAGCCATGCTGTGGAGGTGACCCACATACAAAAAAACAGAGGAAGACTGGCACAGATATTAGCTCAGGGCTAATCTTCCTCAAGCAAAAAAAAAAA